TTCTAGTGCTGGGATCTTTTCAATAAGTTTGTTTTCTGTGTCTGGCGCTTTGCCATAAAGTGCAAACTTTCTATAATGACATCATAGCGACCAGAAAAAAGTGACGTTATAGAAAGTTGTCCTTATAGAAAGTTGTCGTTATAGAACGTTGTCGTTATAGAAAGTTGTCGTTATAGAACGTTGTCGTTATAGAGAATTGTCGTTATAGAGAGTTGTCGTTATAGAGAGACAACAAAGAATATTACTAATGATATTATAAGGAAAACATCGGAACCTTGGGCACCATGTCGCTATACAGAAGATTTCGATATATCGAAGGTCGTTATAGAGAGGCTGCACTGTATTTCATTTTACTCATGGTGTCTTGTACCTCTTCTGTTACAGAAATGTTGACGTCAGCCCTCTATTGGCTAAATGCATGAAAACTATTAAGATAAATCGTGTACATCCGACTTTCAGAAAAAAAGAAAGAAAAAATACTATTGCATTGTAATGTTGATTGAAGCAAATGTGCTGGTTCATGTAGATTTATTTTCTCACAAAGCAATATTTTTTTACGTAATTAACGTCATATTGTGTAATTTATTTACAATGTTTAATATGAAAATCATTAGTGATGAACAAAACCAGACATTGACAAAAAGACAGGCACATGGTCTTGCCAAACACGTTTACCAAAAGAATGTATAGGCTGTATGTCAAACGTTTCCTCACGGGAGAAAAAGGATTTCTTACTTTCTGTCTTTCTGTCAGTCTGTCTTTCTGTCTTTCTGTCTTTCTTTCTTTCTTTCTTTCTGTCTTTCTGTCTGTCTGTCTTTCTTTCTCACTTTCTTTCTGTCTTTCTGTCTGTCTGTCTGTCTGTCTGTCTGTCTTTCTTTCTGTCTTTCTTTCTTCCTTTCTTTCTTTCTTTCTTTCTTTCTTTCTTTCTTTCCTTCCTTCTTTTTTTTTCTTTTTTTCTTTTTTTCTTTCTTTCTTTCTTTCTTTCTTTCTTTCTTTCTTTCTTTCTGTCTTTCTTTCTTTCTGTCTTTCTTTCTTTCTGTCTTTCATCCTACTCAGGACTAGAAACACACACTGTTGTTTTAGTTTAAAGAGCTTTTTCCATGAAATTTGCACCAAAGTTTGAAAATTTTCACTCTCAGTCATAACAATAACACAGCCTGTACCTGAGTCATCGAAAAATGTAAATTAATAATAACATGTAGTTGCAATCAATTGTAAATTAATAATAACATGCAGTTGCAATCAGCATGGATTGTACATCATAATCTTAACTGTTCATGTAACTGGTAAAAAAAAAATAATTAAAAAGAATATACAAATAAATAAATAAATAAATAAATAAATAAATAAATAAAATAAACCAACCTATCAATCAATCAATCAATTAACCAATCAAACAATCAATCAATCAATCAATCAATTAACCAATTAATCAATCAATCAATCAATCAACCAATCACTATAACAATATTTATATAATGCCAGGGCAAATTATTTTAAAAATTGTTAAAGTTTCTTCTTCTTCCTCGTTCTCGATGACAGCAGCTAGACAGTCAGTCAAATGTAGCGCACAAACTGTGCAGTTGTGGCGGCGTCCATCCTTGTTATCGTCATGTCTCACGTCACAAGCAGTTCGGTTAACTTGCGTAATGTACTGTTCCGACTTCTCTGTTGACATCCAACCCGTGTCGCTCATGTGGCCTTTTGCAGTTGCGAGAGCCGTAAAACCTTACAAAAACTACTAAAACTAAGATCATTTCTGTAGAATTCTGTTTAATACGTGCACATTTACCTGTCTAGTTTTCTTCTCAAACCTGGCCATGCACAAACTCAGTCGAACGGGCATCTCCCCAGATTTGAGACTTCTTTCTAAAGATAGAAAAAGTTAATTTTCAGTAAGACATATTATTATTATTTTTTTAAATCACTGATGTAACTTTTGAGGGTCAAATTGAACACCACTTAGTTTGTCCACTGTGTCTTGTCTTTACAAGTGGCCGGTCTTTGTTCCTGGCTGAGGGATGACAGACGCTGGTGATATCGCAGATAATGCGTACGATGTTGGTTCAGGGAAGGAGCCATTTATACTGCGGGAGGATAATATGAAATAGTGACATTATTGGTGATGTGTTAGGTGGTGCTGTTGTTGTTGTTGTTGTTGCTGTTGTCATTTTTGTTTCTATTGTTGTTGTTGCTGATTTTATGATTGATGGCGTTGTTATTGGTATTATATGTGTTGTTGTTGTTGTTGTTGTTGTTGTTGTTGTTGTTGTCGTTGGTGTGTGTGTGTGTGTGTGTGTGTGTGTGTGTGTGTGTGGGGGGGGGAGCCCATCCTTCCGGATTGTTTGGAGACCCAAAGAGTGTGCTCTTCGCCAGGGCCACCGCCTCTCTTGGGTAGCGGGTGAGGCAGTCCAACCTCCCTGAATCCTCCCCAAAGAGATGCCACCGCCGGACCTCCGTGGCGGGGTATCTCTGCTGCCAGTGCTCGAAATCTTGGGGCTCCTGCCTACACAATAGACAGAGAGGGTCCGATGTTTTGTCCATTCTATTTTTGT